TCACTATTTCTTAGGCCAAAACAATATCCCCCTTCTTTGTAACTTCACAGAATTTTCTCTTAAAAACCTCAGCTTTGTACAATTTGACCTTCATCCTTTAATGGGTGTTGCTAAATTCTAGCAATGAAGTCAATTCCTGCATATAGCAACATTCTTGTATGGTTCATACTATTCTTCTGTTTTTGCAGTAGTAATAAGTCAGCATTTGCTATCACTGAGTTTGACTTTGGAACATTAACACTGAGTAATTTGAAGCTTCTTGGAGATGCACATTTGGGTGACAACAACAGTGTTCAGTTAACACGTGATCTTGCCGTGCCAAATTCCGGCGCCGGAAAAGCTTTATATTCAAAACCAGTAAGACTCCGGCAGCCGGGGCTTGATTTTCCGGCGAGTTTCTCTACATTCTTTTCATTTTCAGTGACTAATTTGAACCCATCTTCTATTGGTGGTGGTCTTGCTTTTGTACTCACGCCTAATGATGAGTCAGTAGGTGATGCTGGTGGGTATATGGGAATCTTGGATTCTAAAGGCACACAAAGTGGTACAATTTCAGTTGAATTTGATACCCTTATGGATGTTGAGTTTAAAGATATTAATGGAAATCATGTTGGTTTGGATCTGAATTCAATGGTTTCAACTCAAGTTGGTGATTTAGAATCTATTGGTGTTGATCTCAAGAGTGGTGATATAGTCAATTCTTGGATTGAATATTCTGGTTCTACTGGAGAGTTGAATGTGTTTGTATCATACTCTAATTTAAAGCCAAAAGAACCATTTCTATCTGTTGTTTTGAATATTGCTGAGTATGTAAATGATTTCATGTTTGTTGGGTTTTCTGGTTCAACTCAAGGGAGTACTGAGATTCATAGTATTGAGTGGTGGAGTTTTAGTTCATCATTTGATGCAAGTCCTAAGTCGGCGGCCGCGGCTGTGCCACCTCCGCCAACGGCTAGTTTGATGAATCCCACGGCGGATTCCGTCACGTCGCGGCCGCCTTCTATGGCTCCTTCAGAGTCTAATAGTAGTGCAAGTATAATGCAAGATAAGAGCAGTGGGAAATGTCATAGCAATTTTTGTAAACAAGGTCCTGGAGCTATTGTTGGTGTGGTGACTGCTAGTGCATTTTTTCTTGCATTTGCTACATTGGTACTTATATGGTTATACACCAAAAAGTTCAAGAAAGTGAAAAATTCTGAATTTTTGGCATCTGATGTTATCAAAATGCCTAAGGAGTTTAGCTACAAAGAGCTTAAATTGGCTACAAAAGGCTTTGATTCGATGAGGATTATAGGCCATGGCGCATTTGGGACAGTTTACAAGGGCATTTTATCGGACAATGGTGGCATTGTGGCAGTCAAGAGATGTAGTCATAACGGACAAGGGAAAGCGGAGTTCTTATCTGAATTATCTATAATTGGAACACTTAGGCACAGAAATCTTGTTAAACTTCAAGGATGGTGCCATGAGAAAGGTGAAATTTTATTAGTGTATGATCTTATGCCTAATGGGAGTCTTGATAAGGCATTATTTGAATCAAGAATGATTCTACCTTGGCTACATAGGAGGAAAATTTTGCTAGGTGTTGCTTCAGCCTTGGCATATTTACATCAAGAATGTGAAAATCAGGTGATTCATAGGGATATAAAGAGTAGTAACATTATGTTAGATGAAGGGTTCAATGCAAGATTAGGTGATTTTGGATTAGCAAGACAAGTTGAACATGATAAGTCCCCCGATGCAACGGTAGCAGCCGGGACAATGGGCTACTTGGCTCCTGAATACTTGTTAACCGGAAGAGCAACCGAGAAAACTGATGTTTTTAGCTATGGAGCAGTGGTTCTTGAAGTGGCAAGTGGAAGGAGGCCAATTGAGAGGGAAACAACAAGAGTTGAGAAAGTTGGAGTGAATAGTAACTTGGTTGAATGGGTTTGGGGGTTGTATAGAGAAGGGAATTTGCTAATGGCAGCTGATTCAAGACTTTGTGGTGAGTTTGATGAAGCAGAGATGAGAAGGGTTCTAATGGTTGGGTTAGCTTGTTCACATCCTGACCCTATGGTTAGACCAACAATGAGAAGTGTGGTCCAAATGCTAGTTGGTGAAACTGAAGTTCCCATTGTCCCAAGAACTAAGCCTTCTATGAGTTTCAGCACATCACATCTCCTAATGACTTTGCAAGATAGTGTTTCTGATTTGAATGGTATGATCACACTTTCAACTTCATCATCTGAAAACAGTTTCACTGGTGTTGGCAATGGCATGGACTTGGTCTAATTCATGTCAAGAAAGGAGCATCAACTTTTAGTTAAACTTTTTTGTTTTGTTCATAAATTGATCATTAATTTAATTCCTACTATATTTGTACCAAATAAGCTTAAAATATGATGTATCTTTTTCCTTTTGCTTTCATATACTGTAGTCCATTGAGTGTAAGATACAGGAATTTAGTGAAAAAGATAATATGAAGTCCTTTTCTTGGTTTTGGTTGGGTGGATTGTTTTTGTGGTGAGGTGAGAAGTTGCTTTCTTAAGTTATCTTTTAGTCAAAAAGCCTACATGATAAGCTTGAGTAGAGGTTTGGTAAAGCATGAGTGTAGTATAATGACAATCAACAAAAGAAAGGCATATTTATTGGTAGATATTGTACTTCTTTAATACATAAACGGATCTTTAAGTTGTCATCAACGACTAGGTAGACACTTTCACTCAGCCCACTATCTTAAAGTGTTTATCTGATCGTTAAGGATAACTTAAAGAAACCGTTTATGTATTTCGCCATTAAAATTTCCTTATTAAATCTATATTTTTTTCGTGAAGCAGGATTGAATAAAATCTTCACTTATATTAAAGGTGTCTCCATCACTGCTGCTTAGGTAGGTGTGTGCATGGACCATGCTCGCTAGGTTGAGTTTTGTTTCTTTCATTTTCATTAAATGTTCAAAGGGACATTCCATTCCAGCCATCCCTTTCTTGGACATTTCTTCTCATTCTATAATAATGTCTTTTGTGTTTCGCAATTGTTCGTGTGGATTGCATTGAAATGGGCACCACTCACTCGTTCTAAGGAGAGAGAGAAGGAGATCATCCGTATTCTTTTTTCTTACAATGTCTTCATTGCTAACCACATTTCAAAGCCTTGGAGGGATTTGTTACATGCATAATGCATTGTAAGCAGTAGGCTAGCCCATTGAAATTTTTAATTTTTTATCGCTATAAAGGCGGAAACAAGATTTACACTAAGGGATTTAACATATAAAAGACAATTAATTTTAAACGTACGATATAATTTTCCGGCAAATAGTATTCATATGAACATTTTTCTAACCATCTAGCTCCGCTCTTGCCTATGATATGTCACAAAGGATAAAAAAAATGAAGGGGAATGGAGAGAGCATGTAGATTGCCTATGTCCAATAAGGAGAGTTTATTCTTAATTGGACAGTGCCGACGTTTGGTTACACTCAATTGTTGTGAGAGATGTTTGGCTAGGTCTTGTAAAAATAAAATAAAATAAAAACTCAGTTTTTATATTGTTGAGACTTGAGACATACGTCTGACAGAAACCAAAATAGTTAAAAGTATTAGTATTATAAAACATCAACATAATTACGAATTAAAGAACCACACTCTAGTAGAATGAGCATCTAAACATTACAACAACAACAATAGCAAATTAAAATACTTGAGCCTTGGAAATGAACAATACCATTGTGTTAGTGTCTCGTGTTAGTGTCCAACGACAAACCTCGGAGATACAAAGATTAATTAACTTAATGTCAGTATAATTTGTCATTAAAGTCGATACTCGTCTTAACCCAATTTTTTTTTTTTCATTACTGCAAAAATTCCTCTTCACTGATTAAATGCCGACCAAATTAGATGATAAAATCCCACATGCACACAAGTTCCACTGAGAATCTTGCTGGTGAAAAAAAAGAAGTTAGATTCTATTATTCACCAAATGCGACATGAATATGTGAATGGACTCACATGAAAGATGATATTTTTGGAGAGTCATGGGGAAGGTATTAATTTCATTTCGACTTACCAATAAAGGTTGTTGTAGAGTGATAATTAGTATTATTTCATTCTTAATTAGAGGTTTCGGGTTCGAGACTTGAGTATAGAATCGCTTTTGTCAAGGAGCGATTACTCCCAATGTGGATTTTTCGGCGTGAATTCAAATTTAGTTGAACCCCAATACAAATACCAGACACCAGATGAAATCAAATGGATGAAAAAATTTCATTTCGACCTCATTTTACCGGAGAGAGAGAGAGTTATAACTTACTATAACACTACAGGTTCGACCCATTACGATTATAAAAAACATAATTTGACATGATTTAGGACTTATTTGGCTAAACGTTGAAAGTCTACTTATTATGAGCATTTTTTGTCAAAAAACATTTAGAGAAGTATACTCCGAAAGAATAGTAGTTTATATTTAAGTAATTCATTTGGACATCGCTTAATTTTGTCAATATAAGAAAAACAGTTTAAGATTTTTTTAGTGTCAACTTACAAAAAAACTGACAGTAACGACTTTATCAAGGAGAAGTAGTAGGCCGAAGAAGTATTGTGAAGATGTGATTAGACATGACATGACCTTTGATAAAAAGGTAAAAAGGTTGATGATTAGGATAGTAGGTTAGTGAGTAGTCAATCATATTTCTCTTTCAAATATGTATATCTCTTTCTTACCTATAGTACTAGTGTTATTCTTGTATTTTTTAGTCTTAGATCTCTATTATTGCTTGTTGTTCATTTGCTTTGATTGTTTTATTTTTCTACTTGGTGTTACTGCTTCTCTCTTCGTAGTTCTTTGTCACTACTGTTGATTATACTTTTCTTGAGCCGATTATCTATTAGAAACATCATCTCTATCTTCACAGGGTAAGGGTAAGATGTGCATACACACTAATCCGAGAGAGTATGCAAGTCAAGACTGAATCAAAAGTGTGTAAGTCAAAACGAAAATAAAAAAAACTTTTGGGGCCAATCAAAGGAAAAACAGAAAAAGCGATGACCTTTTAGCAAAACAATTCACCTACTGCAATTTTAACAGTAAGAATTCTGTTTTGCTACCTTGTCGAACTCTCTAGAAGCCATGGATTACGAAGGAGATCCTCCTCCGTCTTTTGATCCCATGGTACGCTCTTCTATTTCACTCCTTATGTTTCTCAATTCATCCCCCCCCCCCCCCCTTTTTAATATATTTCTTCGATAAGAAATGATCTTTTTCTGTGTTTTAGTGGGAGAAGGGTTTATAGATTGATTATTACATTTTTACGGGGATTTTGAGATGATTATCAGAATTTGGTGTCTTTTTTTGTTCACAAGATGTGTTATGAACGCAAATTGCGAATTCAGCTAGTAGCCCAGTACTAGGAAAATGGAAGGTTTTGGAATACAAAATGCAGAGAATGATATCATAGATTTGAGTTTGGCCTAGCTAGTGTTCTGCTACTTTTTTTCGTCTGGTAAATTGCAGGTGCTGGAACAAAAATCTGTGTGATTTTTTCCCATATACCTAAACCAAACCTGTAGATAGTTAGCCAGGATTTGAAGTTTATGGGTTCTGAATTTAACTTGGAACTCATAGCTTATCTTTTGTTACTGGGTTCACAATTGAATATTTAGACTTATTTAATAAATTTCTAATATAAATACAGTGTCTAAGCAAAGGTTACTGGGTTTAACCGAACCTGCACCTAATAGGCTCACTCAAAGGCGCATTCAAGATTTAAACTTTATGGATTTAGATTCGCAATTCTACGACATCTCATCTAATTTAATGGGTTCAAAATTTATTATTTATACATATTTAATAATTTTTTTAAACAAAAATACAGGGTATGATCAAAAGCTAAGGGTTCAGTTGAACCCATAGCTTCTACCCTAGATACGCCTCCGATCGCTCCTCCCTGTGTACGGGTAGGAAAAAGTTAGGTGATTTAGTTTGCCCCTGAATCTGCAACACTTGCTCACCCACCATGGAACTTTAAAAGCTAATTTCTGTTTAGTCTAAAACCTGTCCCGCTGCACTCTTGTTCTTCCTTATCCATGCAGAAGACCGAAGCGCTCGACTTTCCATTTGTTTTTCAACAATTTTCATAATTATGTTCAATCAGTAATGTTCATCGTTTAGCCTAGACGTTGTTCTCCACCATTCTGGGCATAGTAGAACTTTTTTCCCCTTTTAATGATATGAAAGGAAGCCTTGACGTAACTAATAAAGTTGCTGCCATGTGACCAGGAGGTCACCGGTTCGAGCCGTAAAAACAGCCTCTTGCAGAAATGCAGGTAAGGCTGCGTATAATAAACTCTTGTGGTTCGGCCCTTCCCCAGACCCCGCGCATAGCGGTAGCTTAGTGCACCGGGCTGCCTTTTTTCCCTTTTAATGATATGTACCCATTACTTTGCACTGAATTTTTCAGTGGGAGTTCAACATATATCGTTACTTGCTATCTGTCATACATATTTTTGCTTAGTAGAACCTTTTTTCCCTTCAGTGTACTCTGTATTTTGCACTGAACTATGAAGTGTGAGTTTGACACGAATTAACACTTGTTAATCTATGTATTCTGCAGAAAAATATGACCAAAGATGTTGAAGTTCAAGGATTCAACCCAGGATTGATGGTCTTAATTGTTGTTGGCGGGCTCTTACTGGCGTTCCTTGTTGGGAACTATTTACTTTACATGTATGCACAGAAAACACTTCCTCCAAAGAAAAAGAAGCCAGTTTCCAAGAAGAAACTAAAGAGGGAGAGACTGAAGCAAGGTGTTTCAGCACCTGGTGAATAGATATCTTGGACACACCTGTATTCCCCTTGTTCCTTTTGATAGAAGATGTTCCTAGTCAGTAGATGGTTGTACTTTATAGTTTTACCAATTTCCCACCATCATAGATAGAACTTAACCAAAAGATTCTGCTATTTTTATAGTGACTACCCATTTCCCTAATCTCTTCTAGAGAGAACTATTGCTCTTCTTACCTTGCTGTTATGTCCAAATTTCTGGCTAGGTTAATGCTTAGCGTTGCTTTCATGGTTTTGTGAAATTCCTTTAGCCCTTGAAAGATAACAGTTGCATTGAAATAAATGCTCACTGCTTAAAAGAAAATTCTGCCTCTCTGCCCTTCCAGAGTAGGGGTAAGGCTGACTACATATTACCCTCCCAAGACCTTACTTGTTGGAATTTACTGTATTTGTTATTGTTGTAGCTTAAAAGAAAATTCTGTTGCTGGACTAAAACAAAAAAGACATTTCCTTATTCAAACAGCCTAAAAGAAGCAAACAACAATAGCTTATGGAGATGGTGTCCGAAGCATTTGCATACTGTTCCCATTTTGTATTTCTTTTAAGTATAAGATGGTGTTATAAGATGGTGTCCGAGCTAACTTGCTTGCATCCATTTCAAATCATTTCTACAATACAAGAACAGATTCATCAACAACAATTTCTTGTATGATTAATCCTATAATTTCATACAAATTGCAAATCCATCTCTTTTATGTGTATACAATACATTGTATAATATCACCTACATAGTCTCAAGTTTTACATGTCAACTTTCCATCAATTAAGTAAAAATGCTCCAGTACAATATCAGAGAACACTGAAACAGCTAAAACCAAATAGGAAATTGTATGGAGTCAATGGCACAGTAGTTGCTATCAGCGACCCATGCTCTGCTCCCCAGGGGGAAGCATAACGAGGACTGGTTTGGCATTGAACCCAGGATGAGGGAGCCTACGACGAAGTTCACGACCTTCCTGGCAAAGAGCACAAGGGTGGCAGAAGATATGAGTTGCAAAGTCACAAGTTGACTCACATTGTTCGCGTCGTTCCTCATCCTCAACAAAGCCCCCATAGCACCCACATGATCTGGTGACTGCCTCACAGTTACCCTGCAAAGGAAATAAATCTCAGAACGTGTTTTCAAGCATATTTTGTAGACCAACAAACGACAACAATATCCTACTACTACTATTGCCACCACTATAAGGTAATTGAAAGAAGAGCAAGAGCGCTCCTCTGGTACCACCTGTTAAAAATGAAATGATACACATCTTGCCTAGCCTAAAGTTTAGATGATCTTAAATGGAGTGGCATGGTCAGTCAGGACTCAGGAGTCATATAGTCCAACCTCACTTGCTTGGGATTGAGGCGTAGTAGTAGTTGTTGCACTGGAGCTTAAGGCATGAAGTTAATCATGACAAGGGCATTAAAGTGAAAATTTTACAAGCTTTTATCCAAACCTACTAGTAGGGGTGGCAAACGGGCGGGTCGGGTCGGATATGGGACGGGTCGAAAACGGATATATTATCTGACCCGACCCATATTTAATACGGATAAAAAACAGGTTAACCGGCGGATAATACGGGTAACCATATTATCCATGGCTTCATGGATATGATCACTTTTGGGAGAATTTCTAGTCTCCCAAACTTGAGGAACCCCCAATTTGAGGTTTTACAATGGAAGATCTAGAGTCTTTCGTTGATGTTTTAGGATCCTTGTAATTAGGTTAAGGCTTAATTCACTTCTATTCCACCTTTTGTAACTATGGATGATTGCACTACCTTTGGTGCAGTTAATATATATACAACAAATGTTACCTTCTCAAAAAAAAAAAAAAATTAAGCCCATTAGTTATCCATTGGTTATTCATTTTCTAAATGGATAATATGATTCTTATCCATATTTGACCCGTTTTTAAAAAGTTCATTATCCAACCCATTTTTTAGGCGATAATATGGGTGGTTAACTGTTTTCTTTTAATCATTTTGCCACCCCTACCTACTAGTGTCAAATGGGGCCCAAGACATGAAGATAAATTAACACCTAGTTGCTTGACAAAGATGAAACAATAACATATTGCCTTGTAGTGTAGATTAGAACATCTAATCCCAGAAACAAATAAGTCACAGTAAATAAGAATAAAAAGAGCACTAGCAGAATAGTTCTTTTTCAAACATCTATCTTCATGTGAAGAATGTAGAAAGGTAAGTTCACCATCCCAAGCCTCATAGAGAGGAGAGAGACATCCTTATAAACTCTTTGAAACATACAGAACCAACTGCCAATTCTTAGGTCACATCTCCAAGAACTTGACACGAATGACATAGATAAAGTATGTGGAAAGATTGTGAACCACCTAAACCTTTAAATTCAACCACAAAAATCCCAATCATCAACAACTTTCAGTAAGCACTAAATAATGTATGAAAAGGCACACACAAATGACCAGAACTTGATGTTTGCAGGGGTTTAACAGGGAAAGAAAAACTATGTAAACTAGCATAAGACAAGGGGCTTGAACAAGAAATAAAGAGCAAATTTGACATGCTTGGACGAGATTATGACAAATCAGTTAACATCGTCAGAATCGAAATTAGAAGAAGAGTGAAATATAAAGTAAAGCTGCTACACCCAAATTAATCAACAAATCCTTCATTTATATGAACCAAAGTGCTGCTATATAAAACAAGCACTGATGAAGCACTTTATAGGAAGAAAAAGAAAAGCTAAGAGACAGCCAACCTCCAGATTAAACTTCTGCCGGAGAGCAGTACGGCTGGGATATGAAAACCAGGGTGCCATGCAGTTCCAGCCGAAAAAAGACTGTCCAATCAGGTATAGACCAGTGTAAGGCAAGCAGTGATTGGAAAAACTTCCAGGAGCAGACCCAATTCTCTCGGCATTGCTCCCATAGAGCACACATGGTGCCAGAGTTCCTAACAGACCTGTGCAGTGCCACGGTTGGCATTGTTAGTACAACAAAGAGATGACAAGAAAGCAAGGAGAAGAAACTCATAACATTTTTTAACTCTTTTTGGAAGTAGGAGAGGGTAAGGTCTGAAGTATCAACACAGAAATCCGTACGCGATATACCACTAAGAGGGAAGAACTTGAACCATAGTACTTGATTCAGTCAAGCACAGGGAAAATACACAAGAAAGGGATGTGAACTAATTCCATAGGAACGAGCAATATTTCAAGAATAATTTATGAACATCAACTCTCTGACGTAGTAGTTTGACTCTGTTATCGACACATATAACCATTCCCATAAGTTTGCACAACTGATGTAGAACTTGCAGTTGTAGCAAATTAATATAACATTTTGAGTTCTATTAGACTAATTGGAAACACAAATTAAAAGACTTGAGTGCCTGATACTGCCTCCTTAACATTGTCATCCTTTCATTCAATTGAGTCATCAGAAGAAGCAACAAAACCTTTAGACTAGGAAGTGTGTATGATTAAATTCTAAGTCTTTCAATATATAAAGAAAATATAACTTCCCTCCCACAATCATCACCTCTATCAATTACATTTCTCTAGCTATTCCTTTCACTGGAAAACTTGGAAGAGTATCCTTTCAAATTTACTTGACAAGATCTTTTAGTAAAAACCCTTCTTAGTCATCAATAAGTTAATTTCAGAGAAACTCTGCACCTTCCATTGGTTGCAATTAAAAACCATTGAATATGTAATGCTTAATCAAATCTTCTCACTCAGTTCAGTCAGCTCACAAATAATAATATATGAATTGTTATGTGGTAAATAAAAGATAAAAAATAATAATATAGAAATTGTTTTGCGATGAATAATAACACATGAATGCTATGCACGGATTACCTACTTAAGGATATTTTTGTCTTAGGATTCTTACCCATGATTGACTGATTGCCAATACACATTGTTGTTCCGCACTATATCATGCATAAAATATTATAAACCGCCAATCTGTTGATTTATTGGTTACAAGGATATTCTTTTTTTTCCCTTATGTGGTCAACCAAACACCGCATTAATTATGCGGGGATTAATTTGAGTTTTCCTAACACCAGATTAAAACAAATATTTATTGGTATTTACAATTTACTATCAAACAAAATCAGTTCAAGTTCACTTTGGTTTTCCATTTTTTCTAGGTTTGATTAATTTGAATTTTCATTCTTCTTAAACACCCTAAACATAACAAAATCAATCCTTTCATATAAAGAGACATCAAAGCAACAAACTTTTACAAATTTCATAAGGGAAAGAAAACTAATACAGAATGAAAACTCACAAACTTCAAGATCGCTGCTGACGAATTCATCATTCTTCCCAAAACAAGAACAAAGACCGGATTCCCATTGGGCCCTACGCATAATGGGCTCCCCCACCACCGCCCCGTGGCCCATAGGTAACCCATTAGCCGTCCATCCCATCGGAACAGCAGCTGAAACCGTCGGTTTAACCGGCTCCGCCGCAACCGGAGGAGCTGGGGTTGAAGAATTGAGCTTGGTCGACTTCAATTCATTGTTTGTCATCTCAGATTTTTGCCTGGGTAAAAATGGGCTTGATTCTTCCATATTATTGGCCATTGGAACAGAAAATATTCAGAAAAAAATGAATACTCAGAATTGATTTGAATATTGCAATGTTCAAGAATTGGCAAGAGGGACGAATGAAGTAGAGGGATCTAAGAGATGTCAACCTCAAAGATCTCTCCACTGTATGTGTGTTTTACGGATTACAGAAACCGTGTGGAATGCGTAAATAGGAACATTACTTTTCTCTCTCTCTCTCTCTCTCTCTCTCTCTCTCTCTCTCTCTCTCTCTCTCTCTTCTTTTTTTTTTTTATCTTTCTTT